AAATTCTTTGAGATGAAACGTTGATCTTTTTCGATTTGAGATATTTTAATGCACCTTTGAGATGAAATACTTTTTACGTTACTTAGTGCTGAAAAATGTAATTTTTTCTGACTGAAATTTCTTTGAGCTGACTCACTTAGAACGTTAGAGCATATATTTTTTTTAAACCTTCATTGAACTGAAGCATTTAAAAAATTGTACTGAAATATGTTTTTCATTTTTTTTTGCGCTGAAACATTTTATATATATTAATAGCTGAAATATTTTACAGTTTCTTTGGGGTGAAATATATTTAATTTCTTAGAAGCGAAAGATTTTATAGTTTCCTTTAGCTGAAACAGTTTTAATATTTTTAAGCTGAAACATTTTAATGTTTTTTTGAAGCTGAAACGTTTTTACGTTTCTCTGAGAAGAATAAGATTTTAACTTTAAGGAAAGATTTTTTAAGTTTAAGCTGAATCATTTGAAATGTTCTTTGTGCTGAAATATTAAGGAATGCTGAAGAATTTCATTTCAGATGAAGAAAAAATAGGAAAATGATAGTCAAAGAACTGGTTTTGCAGACACATGCTAATTACAAGGTGCTCCACAAAAACAGGAAATTTGGTACAGTCGTTGGAATTTTAGTTCCAGTTATTTGAAAGAAAAGCAAAGGATACAAATTTAGTAGCTTAAAACAGAACAAAAACACAAATCTTAGATGTGGTTTTCAAGCTAAAGAACTCTGGCAAAATTTCTTGACATTTTCCAGTCCCCAAATTGGATGTTCTTTCTTAAAGAGAACAATCACATCGCGTTGAAAATTTGATAACTGCAACATCCGGGAACAACAAACAGTTAAAAAATGTAAAATATATAGCTACATTTTGTTATGTGTGTAATTTAATTTTTTTATCATATAGTAAATTTTTAAAATTTCCTGAATTTTTATGGGAGACCCTATATATTGTCATGTCATGTGTAACAACAGACAACACGCGACTTAATCTTTTTCATTTTATAGTTGGTGGGTTAACATTTTTTAGTGGCATATCAACACCTCTATGGGTTATTTAATGGCGAAATCTAAATATTTGGAAGGCAATTTTATGACTTCAACTAAATAGAATTTAAAAGCAATTATATGCCTTCAATTACATGTATTGTCGCCTATTTTACTATAACTAGGTATTGTTGGTTTGTTTAATGGCATATCAACACCTTATGGCTATTTAATGCCAAAATTTAATTTTCGTGGAAACTTTGGAGTAATAAAAAATATTATGTTATTCTGCCGTCACAGGTGAATACATGGTAGATAATACTCAGCTTTTATGCATATACATGTTTGTGTGGAGATAATTACTGGAGGTGGTGATATGTGTTTTTTTATGTTTCTTTAAGAAATTGCCGGATATTATATGGATAATATCATGAAAGAGTTCTTTGATGTTGGTTGTTTGATGTTGTTTAGCGGCATATCAACACCTCTATGGGTTATTTAATGCCGAAATCTAAATATTTTGAACACATTTATGGTTTCAACTAAATATATTTTAAACACAATTGTATACTTTCAGCTTCAAATAAAATATGTTGTTGGTCATTTTGCTTTAAAAATGTACTGTTGCTAATTCTACAATAAAATCTATTGCTGGTCATTTTGTTTTAAGTAATGAAAATATGATATGTTATTCTGCTTTCACAATTGAATACATGGTAGATGAAACTCAGCTTTTGTGTATATACATATTTATGTGGATGTACTTACTAGAGGGAGTGATTTACGTTGCAGTTTTGTTGAAGTTATATTTTGGAATACAGTTTGATTTCTTTAAGAAATTGTAGGATATATGGATAATGTAATGAAAGAGTTCTTTCATATTGGTTGTTTGGTTTTGTTTAGCGGCATATCAACAACTCTATGGGTTATTTAATGCCAAAATCTTAATATTTTGAACACAATTGCATGCCTTCAACTACAGATAAAATATATTGTTTGTCATTTTGCTATAAAATGTATTGTTGGTAATTCTACGATAAAATGTATTGCTGGTCATTTTGTATTAAAAATGTATTCTTCGTCATTTTACTATAAATATATATTGTTGGTATTTTTACGATATCTACTGATATAGTCAGTCCACATAGTCGATAGGGAGTGTGGGGCATTCCATTACAACTCAATTGTAAAAATGCAGAATATGGTCGTTAACAAGCGATGCGTATTGCTCGAGGCGGATGTGGCACGCTTGTGTCATCATGTCTTGTTTTCGATTCCTGACTGGCTTGGCAGAATTCCTGCAATAGTCTGCTGTTACTTTCTGCGGCAGACTGGTTGCCAACTAAGACTATAGGACCCAGTCCACACTGCTATTTATCCCATAGCTTGTGAAAGGAGATAAATTCATTCCTTTCCAAAGAGTATTTGTGCGTAAGTGAAGGTAACGAACTCGACTGAAATTCGAACTCGGCTCGCCGATTTCTCATTCAGAGCCGTTATCCAAACAAGCTTACAGCACTTAGTATTCCGAAGCAGTCACCCATCCAGCTATTAATTAGGCTCTACGTTGCTTAAATTCAGTGATCGTACCGCTGTTTTAATGTGATATGGCTGTAAGGTGAAATGATGTATAATGAAATTAAATGATGTTACATGGCGGAAAATAGGCGGAGAGGGTTTTTAACAAAGATTTCACATTGAATGAAAACATGCCCGTTGTCAATTATTAGCTTTTCAGCTAAAAAAAAAAAAAAAAAAGAACAGGAAGTCCTTTACAGAACTTCAAGTTTATTGCTAGGTTTCAACCAAACTTTGCACATTTATAAATCTACTATTCTTCCGTGCAGTAATAGATATCGACTCGGATTGAGGAATCGGAGAGCCGAGTTCGAATTCCAGTCGGAATTACATTACATTAACTTACGTGCTGATACTATTCTTCTCTGGGTAAATAGGCGTCGGTGGTCTAGGAGAAGGAAACTCATAATTCAAAAACGGTATGGAAAGGGATGGGTCCCGTCAGGTTATCTTGCGCAAGAAGTACTACTTTTACTACGGCTGCAGTACATGCGATGACCGTTCGACTATCACGGGTCACGGAAAAAAAAGAAAACATATTTAGTGACACTAGTGCTCTTTAACTATATGCGTGAGTTTGACATACCAGCAGTTTCTCTTAGGATATGTCATCCAGTCCGTGCCACAGTGGGTGCAAACATTAGTCTGGCATAGTAGCAGTTTCTCTTGGGCTATGTCTTCCTGTCCATGACACGGTGGGTGTAAACTTTAGTCCGGCATAGTAGCAGTTTCTCTTGGGCTATGTCATCCTGTCACTCCCACGGTGAATGCCATCCTTAGTCTGGCATAGTTTCTCTTTGGTTATGTCTTCCTGTCCATGACACGGTGAGTGCAAAATTTAGTCTGGCATAGTAGCAATTTCTCTTAGGCTGTCATCCTGTCACTACCACGTTGAGTGCAAAAGTTAGTCTGGCATAGTCACATTTTCTCTTAGGCTATGTCTTCCTGTTCATGCCACGGTGGGTGCAAACAGAGCCTTTCATTTGTGTTTTGAAAATGGAGTTGTTAGTTTACATCTGTTATGTCACTGTAAATTATTGAATTGTTTAAAAAATTTAGCGTCTATTTTTTTCAGGTTTCTGGAAATCATTGAATATATGCTCTTTGAAAATATGTGTTTTTTCCGTGATGCCTTTGTAAATTATTGAATAAATTATTTGAAAATAGAGGTGCCTTTTTTTCTAAAGACTTCCTAGTTTATTTTTTAAACCACTATTGTCTGAAAATAGGTGTCTATTTTATCATGTCTAGGAAGGTCATTGAGTAAATGCCATTCTATAAAAACAGAAAATAAATTGACGAATATATTTTTAATAAAGAAGTGATATTTCCCATGATTTTTACTATGGGAATTGCATGTACAATAAATGTATTATCATTACTGCCCAATTTAGTTTTAAATTCTTATGCAAGGCACTGGTCAAGATGAACAGAAACAAAGCAGCAGGACCAGATCATAATGTAATAGATATGCTGTCAGTCTTAGACAATTTGGAGATCGATAGGGTTACTGAAATAATAAATGATGTATACGACAGCGGTGAAAAACCGGAAGACATCAGTAGATCTGTTTTTATAACGATGCCAAAGGAGTCAGGAGCAGATGAATGCGAACTTCATCAAACAATAAACTATTTAATATCGCGCTGTAGTGTCTGTTGACATTTTCTGTGACTTGTCTATTAGGAATGAATCGCCTTTTCAGCTTACTGTTTTCAGCTTACCGATTGGGATTCAATTCGCGATTTTCTTCATAACGACTCTTGCAATGAAATCTTTAATTATGCTACTGAAAATTATGCCACTGAAGTTTCTTCTTAGGTGAAAGCAGGTATCGATGCGCGGTAATACCAGATAAAAGCCACAATTCTCATGAAATTGCGTAATGAAAGCTTTGGCAGATCTGTGACCTTGACTAAAAGATGTCGAACACGCCCATTCTTATCTACTTGGCATTCCATCTAAAAGGGGTGTCTAGGAATCTGAAATAAAATTTCAATAACATTGAAGCATTTCAATTTCACAGGAAGAACAGAGTTACTAAGAAGCAACAAAAATTATACGAAAGATCTTCAAAAAATATCAGAAAAAAAAACGAACAAATATAAGTAAAAACCTAATATTTTTCGTATAGTATTTGCATTCTGTATTTTTAAAATCCATTTCAATCTTGCTGGAAGGTCCCAGAATGGGATGTACAATGTCAGATGTCCAGTCATCGGTGTGGGCATACTTGAATGTCCGTTGTTTTATCGACGTTTAACCAGTCAAATATACTTAAAGATGTAACCGGGGAGAGAGAGAGAGAAAGAGAGAGAGAAAGAGAGAGAGAGAATTTAAAAGTGACCGGACACTCCTTAAGATGCTTCAACAAAGAAATACACAGATGGACGCACGTGTCAGTTATTTTTGTTGTTTTTTTTCCTTTCATATTTGAATTATGGCAAGTAGTTCTTTTCGAGAAATTTCCGATTCGTACGTAATATCACTTAAGTATATTTACAGTAGATACTTCATAATAGTAATAAATCTTGTTAATATTTGCCGTGTCTGTTTAAAGCGTTATGGTGTTTTTGAACAAGTGTGCGATGCCAAACAACATGAACGAGACGCTCCTAAAATAAAGCCTCATCCATGCCCATGTTGAGTCGTGCTTATTTAAATGAAATTCAAAATAGATTCAGACAGCTTTAAAGAATCCAGTAACATGCCACTGCTTTGTACGTACTTTCATGTCACACGCCATTTTACCACAGTGTCGGGGTTAATAATTAGTTAGGTTTGTAATACGCAGGAACAAGACATAAGTTTGATTTTACAAATGGCACCGCAATTAAAAAGGGAACATAATTCTTTACGTAGGAAATACTTTAAGAAATGTCTGATGAACACACGTCAAAAGCATTATAATACACGAGCAACCTTTATGAAATCCATTCTTAAAGAATTTAACGTATCAACTACGAATATGAACTACTGTTCATACCAATTTGCAGTTTGTTTTTTTTTTTTTGGTAGTCCGATGTGGTGTAATGATAAGCAAGCTTATCTCGCGAGATCAGTTACGACTGAATAGTGAGTTCGATCCTCATTGGGTGCGCTATACTTTCAGCCTTATGCCACATATAAGCAAATCTTAGAAAACCGCAAGACATCTCGGCCTGGTGTAATGTTTAGCAAGCTTGTCTCGCAAAATCTGAATAGTGAGTTCGATCCTCACTGGGTGCCCGATATTTTCGGCCTGATGCCACATCTAAACTATGCTTAGAAAATCATTTGGTTACTTCGACGTGGTGTAATGGTTAGCAAGCATGTCTCGCTAGATCAATTACGACTGAATAGTGAGTTCGATCCTCACTGTGTGCCCCATACTTTCAGGCTTGTGCCACATCTAAGCAACTCTTCAAAAATCACCAGAGACCTCTGCTTGGTGTAATGTTTAGCAAGCTTGTCTCGCTAGATCAATTACGACTGAATAAGGAGTTTGATCCTCATTGAGTTCCTCATCCTTTCGGCCTTGTGCCATATCTAAAATACGCCTAGAAAATAATCATCTATGCTGCGCTTAGAAAATCACTATACCAGTTCGAAGTTGTTTTTATCCCGTCGTGACGACAGATCTTACACTGTAAATATTGACCTACTCTGTCATGACGGTTTTCATTTGGGTACGAGTTTTGAGCATCCTGAAATAAGGGGATCAATGGTTATAATGTTTTGGTTACAGATCCAATTTTGGGGGTCCGTACTATTATGCAAGATATCTAGCTGAAATCTTTTCAGCTTGCTGGTCGAACTCTCCGCCTCTGAACAGAGAGGAACCCGGACGAGACTATGCCGAAGGGCAAAGTCTCGTTCGTGGAGGCAGACCGACCCGATCCCGTTTATGCGGGTTCTACGGTGATATTTTGGCCGAGCCTACGGGCTCGGAAGCCCACATTAAATTCGGCCTTGTGCCACATGCGGCTGCGTGGGGCAGTAGCTAAATACTCTATTATGGGAGATATTTGCTTAGTAGTTTCGTATGGGCAGGTTATGTTCTCGTGAAACTCTTGCCTCACCCTCAATTTTTGAACTCCTGCTGGGTTGTGAATTTATTTACATCAGCATTTTTGCATCGGAGAAGTAATTGGCTCTGTCGAGGCTTTTGACTCCAAGTTCCTTCTATCTGCTTTTGGCCTAATATTTCACTTATTTTGTGGTATTTGTATCTACTTGAAGGTTGAAACCGGATTCTCTAGCGTATTTTATGGGCTTCTTTTGAAACAGAATAAAGCTTTTTATTTTTTTTTATTCAGGATACTTAGGAAGTCTCATTGTTGAAATTTTTAAAGGCAATTCTAGTAGAATCATGCCCCAAACCCCCACAGCACCTTGGAAGATACATTATTCAACTGGAATTGTCTAACAAAATTTCAACAACGTGATTTTATAAGTATCTTGTAGTTATTAGATTAGATATTGTTGTTGTTATTGTCATTATTATTTTCTTTTCTTTGATTTCTGTTGTATACTCATTTCTTTCCGGGTCCCAACCAGAGACCTAAGGTCAGAAATGGCATCTTGACATTTTCCACTGAGCATTTTTTGAGGAAAATAAGCTAAGATCACACACACATTTTACATAGATAAAGCCCTTCGTAAAGTGTGAACTGTACTTATGAGTATAATTTTTTTTGTATTCATTTAAGGCATGGGCTACCAGGAATCCCTTTAATGAGTCTATTGGAATCTTTTCCAATCAATCCGAGGACTCCAACTTCAAATGGAGTTTTTGATGTTCTCATGTGTCACATTTTTGAGATTTCGATTTCAAGGTCCTTGTATTTTGATAGCTTTTTGAGGATCTTCAAAGGTACATTGCAGTCTTCAGGGACTGCCATGTCAATAAGAAAACACATTCTGTTTTTGTGGTCTCTGATCACGATGTCTGGGCGATTAGCTTTGATTTTTCTGTTTGTGAGCATTATTATTATTATTATTATTATTATTATTATTATTATTATTACTTTAAGGCATGGGTTGCCAGGAATCCCTTCATTGAGTCTATCAGAACATTTTCCAATCAAACACTGGGCCACAAACATAACTGGAATTACTATCTTCATGTGCCATATATTTTAGATTATCACTTCAAGATCCTTGTATTTTGATAGTTTTTTGAAGATCTTCAAAGATACATTGCAATCTGCAGGGACCGCCATATCAATAAGGAGGCACCTTTTTTTGTTTGCAGGTCTCTAATCACGATGTCTGGGTGATTAGTTTTGATTGTTCTGTCTCTGTGTATTGTGAAGTCCCCTAAAATTGTTACAGATCCTATCTCCGTAACCGGGTCTGGGTGGTGTTTATACCAATTTCTTGCAGGTTTTTTTTTCTGCAAAACTTGCAAATTTTCCATTGCAGGTATTGGCCCATTTTGTTATGCCGGGTTTTATATTCAGTGTGTGCCAATACCGTGAAACCCGATACAATTTGGTCAATTGTTTCTGGATATTTATCACTGTATCTACATTTTGGGCTAACACAATTTTTCAGTATGTGTGCTTGATAATTTCTAGTTAGCAAGCATTGGCCCCGTGCCGCAAAAATAAAGCCTTCAGTTTCAGCTTTTAACCTTGTACTACGTATCCACTGATGGGTGCAGGGTTTGTCTACATCAACTTGTTTGGTATGGGTAGAGTATTGACCGTGAAGCGGTTTATCTTGCCATCGTTTCTGTATCTGGTCGGTTGCATTTGCCTTTGCTTTCTTTTTTTAAGTATTTTGCAGCTTCAGCCGGTGTATTCTGCTTTACTTGTATTTCTTCACACATTTGAAATTCCATTTTGAACTTGTTGGCTTCTTTATTTTAATAAAGTCGCTTACTACTTTCATGTTCATCATCCAGTCTTCTGCAGTTTCCAGGTATCTTTGAAGGCCAATTATTGTAATTTTGTTAGACAGTTCTGGTTGAATTAATTCTCTGCCTACTTCGGATCTGGGAATTTACAGACGATCAACATCAGCTTTGAGATGATGCGTGCGGAGGCAGGTGAGAAGCTTTCTCGTTTTGGCGTCCATTCTCTTAATGTCAGCAATGTCCTATTAACGATGTTGAAACTATGTTGCACCCTAAGGACAGCCAAGATATTTATGGCTGATATTGTTTTTTGAATTCAGCTCGGTATTTAGTACCAGGCACACACGCCCGTAGTATTCCTTTCTTACCTTCGCCTTCATTTGGCTGTGATGTATTCCACCTCATTCTCTAATTCCTATATACCTATAGGCTTCTTCTTGTTCCAGTTCCCTAATCTTTGTGACAAAATCTAAATCTATTGCGTGTATTTCTGTAATTCTCCCTTTCTTGAATGTTACTTTTTCCACATTTATCTAATCAGAAATCCATACCTATGTTGTCATTGAAACATTTTACAGTGTTGAGGAGACCTTAAACTCATTGTCGTCTTTGAATTTGAGATCATCCAGGTAGAGTAGGTGATTGAGTACTTTCTTGTTTAGTTTGAAACCATAGCTATTGTTGTTTAGTTCATGCGTAAGGGAGATTAAGGACAGACAAAAGGGAAGGCGTAGTAGGCCTCGTCGGATATTCAGGCGGTTGGAGACGGTAGTGCGTCTGGTGTGATTTAGGTATAATGTGGTGTTCCATATTCCCGTGCTGTGTTTAAGGAAATTTACTATCACGAGGGAGACTTCCCTTGCATGGAGTATTGCTGCCATATATGGTCTGGGGCACCTTCTGTTTACCTCGTAGTTCTTCACAAGATCCAGAGACGGATGTGTAATATAATTGGCCCTGATCTGGCATCTCGTCTACAGTCACTCTCTCACAGACGCGCCGTCGCCTCTCTCTGTCTTTTCTACAAATACTTTCATGGTAATTGCTCCGACGAGCTGCTTTCACTGGTTCCCAGACTCCATGAATTCAAGCGCCCTACGAGGCTGGCATCCCGCTCCCACCCTTACACTGTAGAAACTTTTAAATGTAGCCGTCTCTTTCACTCCAATAGCTTCATACCTCGCACCTCTCGCCTGGAGCACCCTTCCCAATTACTGTTTCCCTGAGAGCTATAATCTCCAACTATTCAAATGTAATGTCAATCGACATCTCCAGTTACCTTGATCTATCCACTATCCCTCTCCTCATCCTTTCTTCTATCACTCCTATCTGCTCTTGCTCCTAATCTTCTGCAACCCCCTGCATCCTAGTGGCTTCACGCCTTGCTCGGGGCGTAATGCTTAAAAAAAAAAAATTCCAATATCTTAAAGATTCAAGAGTGTGGCACATTATCAAAGGCTTTACGATAATCTAAGATTTCTACATCGTTTCCTCCAATTTTCCAAGATCATTTTGTTAATCAGTAATTGATCTTTGCAAACTTATATACTTCTCCTGTATCCCTTCTGTTCCAGTGGAAGAATGTTGTTTGCTTCGAA